TGATGTAGTTGTGACCGTGAATCGTGCGGTCAGACGTGGAGTGGTGAAGTGTTTATAGCACTAACCCACGTGATATAGACATAACTAATTAAAATTTCTTCCACTTCCTCTGTCCTTGCCATCACCCGCCTTCCGTCATATAGCGTATGTTAACCGAGAGATGTATTTCCTGTTTGGTTGTTCCGAAGATGGAGAAGATCATAGTATTCATTTTCTAAACAACAACTACAAATTAGTCTCTTTGACAATCAAATTTTTTTATTTGTTATATAAGTTGACCACTAACTCCTCCAAACTCCACACAGTTCTCGTAATATAATTAATCTAAGCCCATCTAAAATTCTCAATTTTTATAAAAAAATACGTTTTAAGGCTGAGTTCGAATGTCTCAGAACAGGGCTATTCAAATAACGAAATAATTTAAAGAAAGTACGTTTCTCAACCTTGTTTTTCTTCAGAGCAGGCGGTCCACCATAAGTGACAATTGCTGGGGACATTTAAAATACAGGATTGCAGGTGCGTTTTCAACCTTTTAAAAACCGTGGGCCCCGGTTACCTCGCTGACCAGATGAAACAAAAAAAAATTTGACTTGTACTTCACGCTGGTTTTCTTTGACGCCGTGGTACTTTCTCTTGCCTATTTCTTCAACAGCAATGCTGCATGGCCCCACCACTGCTCTTTTGCCACCTCGACGTCAGAATGGGGCTAAGGTGGGAGTTGAACCGATTGTCCAGAAAAAAACCCACGTTGCACATGTCTGCTGTTTTGTGGCGCTTGTCGTTCCATCTGTCCCCAATACTGCCCCATCCAGGCGCAAACTGTGCATTGTTCCTCCACCACCTCAAATATTGAACGGTGATGTAGCTCCGTCTCCTGTGATTCGCTTGAAGGGCGTGTTTGATGTTACCTTCAAATCCTGTTCAGGTCGGTAACGTATTTTACTTCTCTGATGCTGCGAATTTCCACGAGCGGCGGTAATCACTTACCATAATTTGACTTGCTTTTTTGTTTGCTACAAGAAAGTAAATGCTTCTCGTATTATCAAGACCATTATATTGATTTTATGAAGTATTTTATTTTATAGGTTATCATCATCTTTACGAAAAAGTTTTAAAAGCTTATATTTTATAAGTATAATCGAAACCTAATTCTCAAAGCATCGAGATCTATTGCTTTATCAATTACTTCCTCCAGGATTTTCCATGATTTTTTAGGTTTCTATAGAAAGTAGCTGTTGCCAAAGCCTTTCCACAACTTAAGATTGATTAATAAATAAATACTGCATGAATTCAATAAGTAAACAAAAACTTAAAAACAAATACAAACTTATGAACTTTGAACATGTTGACTTATACGATGTCATGTTTTCTTTCTTTTCTTTATTCTAAAAGTAGCATTGTACGCCGAAGTGTCATTAGCCTAATGGCATACGTCTTCAATTGCGAATGCGCAGTAGTGTGTTAAAATGACTTGACATCTGGGACGGTTTTCGACTGTGAACCAAGCATTCTATAGATTCGAAAATTCTAAATACAGTTAGAATAATATAGCTACATATCTGTTTAAGTTGGGTACAAATAGTAGAATTTTTTTTTGAAGATAAGTTTTACCGATTTGTTTAACATTTTTGGCTACCTAGCCGCTTACAAAAAAATTGGAAATAATTTAAATAAAACACGGAATGCAATTTATAACATAATTTACTGAAAATAACGAACTTCTCTTGTTTTGCTTGTAATTCATAATCCAAAATATCTTAACTTTAGCGTAGTGTCTAAGTTATATTAAACGTTTACATACAATAAACGTTGCTCCGAACATACATTATAAGCGCAGACCTTACAATCTAATTCTAGTTTTCTTTTAATACTTAATTAACAATCTTTTCACTGTTTTTTGAGGATTTAAAATAATGAGAGAGAAATAATTCGTACAATAATTTATTTTCAATTTAAAATGAGGATGCCTTCAAGTCTAGTGTAACTAGCCTTGTTTGTACTTGTACCAAAAACCATTACAACTTACTTCCACTCGTGGGATAGTTCAAACATAATATCGGTTCCTGTATTACAATGTATTTAGTAATCATTTAAGAACAAGTGCCATAACGGCAACTAGAGTGGATAGAGTAGTAAAATTTTCCATTTGCGCCGGGTGTTTTTCGACCTAACAAAAATTTTATTCGGTAAAGAAAAATCTATAAGCATAATTCTGCGGTCTCGCACCCGGCGCTAATCGAAAATTTTACTATTAGATTTGTTAGACAATTAGTTATATATAATTATTAAATACTTGAAATAATATTTAAGAGATACTTTTAAATATTAAGATGATTGTATTTAACGAATTTCTAACCTAAACAATATAGTCCGATAGCTACAGGAAGCAGATATAAAATTCAAGGCAGAAGATAAGTTGTCCACAACATACCTTTTACAATTACATATTAACATTCAATCTTTTTGCTATCTCATCCCATCATACACAGATTAGACTAAGAATCTACGGTATATTGTATATAACCTTTTGCTAGTACACAAACAATGTACTTATGCCGCCAGCAGTTTTTCCACAAGCATTAAAAACGTCTCGCCAAGTCACGTACAACCGCATGCATCAGAATATTGATCATGATTTGAAATGGAAATACGTTTTTGCGTTCTCCAAATTGTTTTAACTTTTTCTTCTTGTTGGTGGAAAGAAACTTTTCAAAACTCTTAAAATCATTAATTACAATTGTGACTTCAAAGAAATTAGTTATTCTACGAGTGTCAAAATTAATGCTAAACTCTGTTTTATGTTTCCGTGAGTGTATAAGTCAGTATTTAGCACATAAATATGTGTAGGGAACAAAAAGTTATAACGTAAATATTATTTAAATTTCAAAGTTATGAAATTCCAAATAATTATATGGGAATTACTTATAAATTTTTATGACGAATCAAAGATTATTCAAAAGAGTACTTCTTTCATAAAAAAGGGAATGTACTTGTTACTAATATAAATAGTCGTCCTTTGTTTCATGTAATAATGCAAGCTAGGAAGATCCTAAGTTATACTCGCTGCTCTTTTATATTATGCTCCTTTAATTTCTTTTCTTTAATCTAAATGTATGATTTTTCACAATAAAACTACATAAAAGTTCACTTAACTTTCAAAATAGCATCAACATCAATCATTTATCCACAGTTTTAAAATAAAACATTGGCACTTTATTAAACATTTTAAGATTTAATCTAAAATATATTTACAAGGGTATCTATATGGATTTATTTTTCCGATTTTTATTTGAATCTACAGAACGTGAAGGTATATTTTAATAAAATAATCAGGAATCTATTCCTTAACACTAAATACGAGTACATTAATTGGTTCTTTCAATGCTATATTCGGGAGCACTTAAACATCGATTCGCGTATGGAGGAAACCACTTAAGCATTAATATCACTTTTGGCGTATTTACCTTTTTCATTTACATTAATGACTAGTCAATTGTGCACCGCAGAGTTGAACCTTATTTAATCTACTTATTTTTTCTAAAGACTTTAATCCATAAGTCTTCCAAAATATCAGCCACGGGCTATTTGTCCTTTTATTCTTTATACTAATGAGCGGGCTTCATCTTAAAATCATTTCAATTGTTTCACATTTAACAATGTTTATTCGGGGTAGGTCCAAATACCACCTTGACTTCAAACGACTTGTCTTCGTGGTTTACATTTGTTTTGAAATTAGTTTTTATAAAATTACAAATTGCATCTAACTAATAAAGGCTACCTAAAATATGGAATTTCTGGAAGTTTAAGTGCGGATATGGTCGTTGGACCTAGTACACCTGGATCCACTAAACCATACAACGCAAACATACACTAGCCTGATTATCCATGTCTTAAATTAAATTTTTAAGGCACGGCCTTATGTCATACGCAAGGGTTCTTTTAATTAATCTTTGAACCTAATATCCAGTTAAAAAAATTGGAAATAAGTATTATAGGGAACTGACTGAATTTTAATTGAATCACAGTCTAGCAGATTAAATGATGGACGTACATAACGTATTCACAACATTTAATAACAGTTCTAGATGGATGAAAACTGTCGAAGACCTTATTTTTTGACATGCATTATTGTATACATTTTAATGTAAAATATAAGCCGACCGCCTGGGTACCTGCCTTTCAACCACTTTCTCACACTCCTTTGTGTCGTAGCCTTCCAGGACCAAAGGCCCCAAAATAAAATTTCTAAATGTCAAGCAAATGTCGTGTACTTACAATATGCACCTTCATTTCAAGATACTGAAATAACCGTGCATACTGGAATCAAGCCTGGCATACATTATTGTGCAAGTCTTATGAAGATTTGTGTTTTTTAAACGTAAAACATTCAAAAATGGTTCTTACGTATGGACAACGTGCAAGAATTTGTTTCCCACTATGTTTTATAAACGTGTAACCGGAGCAAAATTCTTTAAAGCAGGTCTGCAAATAAATATACTTTTATATATTTTTATTTATACGCCTGCCGTTGAGTCTGGCAAAGTGTATAAAATTGTTTCAAATTATTAGTTCAATTGTAAAAAACGTAATAAATTCGTAATATGCAAAATTATAAAAAGCTTTACATTTGCGTAATTGACTTTAGGTCTCGAGAAATTGTAAAATATCCTTAGATTTATCGAATTGATTTCAAAGATTGTAAAAGTTACCTGTACGAAAGTCCCGAAGCAATAGTCTACATAGATTTATTTGCATCTATCTAAATTACAACAACTATTTACATGGTTGGTATAATATTGTTTACCATGGCGTCATGAACTTGACTTATTTGTTAACAACAATAATGGACGAGTAGCTAAATCGGTCTCGAGTCGTATTATACAATATCATTCAATTCCACTTAAATTTTATAATCATAAATAACTTGTGAAAGCTCTTCGACCAGCGCCATCGACATAGTTTGTCTCTAATTAGATAACAATTTTTACAAAAAAATGCTATAGTGGTGTTTCCTCACCAGACTCACAATGAGGCAACCTTACCACTCTGGTCCCGGACAGAACTCCTACACCATCCAAACAGGATCTTCTATTTGCAATGACGTCTCTCAAAAATGCCCTTCTGGGCCCAGCTAGATCGGTACCAGTAATGGATCTGGTAATTCTTCGCAAAGCGGGTAATTTCAATGCTTCTTCGTAAGGTGGGGGTTCGTCAGTAGGTGTCGTTTGGGCTCGACCCCCAAATGGATCTCTGGAGCAAGTGGGCGATAGCTCTCTAGAATAGTACAGGGTGTTCTCTCCGTTCCTTCTAACTTGCTGTTCTGACATTAGTTGGTAATTAGCTGGAGCGTTGTTTGTGAGGTCCTCTAATATTTGTCTTGCACTTCTAGCTGTTGTTAGAACACCAGCCCAAGACCGTCTATTCTGTTGCTTAATGTCATACGATCTAGCATTTCCGGCAATATTACTACTAGAATGTGTGCTTGCTATTGCAACTTTTGGCCTGTGTGGGGGCTCATCGAATGACGCTGCTTTTATCGTCGTCCTGTTCTGCCTCTGTTCCGAATCGATGTCGATCAACACTCCACTGCTGGGGGTGTTTTCGGCCGGATCTTCCCTAAGGGCGGCGTCGATTCGCATTGCTTCTGAATAGGATGGAACTAGAGCGCAGTTTCCTCGGATTGCGGCGAACAATTCAAGGCTATCTACAGTGGACGCGTGAGACAGAGGAAGAGTGCGCGGAGGACGGGGGGCTGAACACAGAACAGCACTCTGCTCATCGGCGAGAGCCCAAGCGTAATTATTGGCAGTGACAGGCGGCAGAGTATCCGACAAGTGGGTGTCAAGGTCGAGTTGCCGGCTCGGATCCAATTCATAATTTGTGCCAAATATTTTAGTTATCTGAAATTAACAAGAAGTTACTAAAGTGCAAAATCACTCTTAAATAATTATAACCGAAATAATGTTAAAGAAATTCACCGTGTAATGCACGTATGCTGTGTTACATTCTATTACAATACGAAGTGGCCAAGAAAGAAGTAAACAGGAGAGCGTCCAAAATAATATTTGTGATGAATACCAAGGGCACCGATCAGCTTCTCTGAAAGTAAGACGTAAGTTGTACAACCTTTTTAATGAAAAAATCAAAGAGTTTAAATGAAAAAGCCGAAATTCACCTGTACGCTACCATATATTCTTTAAAGGAACTGACTCCGATGAGGTCGAGACCTTCTCGCATTTCCATGAAGTCGTCGAAACGTTCGTGCTCCGCAAAGAATCTGGATCTTTGGTCTTCAAATTCTAAAATACACCGAAAAGACGAGATATTTCAGACACATATTTTGACCCAGTATATTGTGCCTATGACTAGAGGATAATTCAGTAGAGGATGACCTAGTTCAATGACTTAGGAAAGAGTTTTTATCATAGATTCTCTTCTCCCATAACAAACGTCCTATTTCGACTTCCCAAGTAAAAAAACTGATATATTGTACAACTTTCGATCCTTTTCGCATTCCGTTATTTCGCCGTCACTTAAATTCCTTTCCTTTATTCAAAATCATGACATGGACTCCAGAGTTTCACGTCTCTCACGCAGTACTTCGGCAAATACTCATATGAACTTACGTCAATCACACTCACGATATACTGAAAATGGGCAGACTTAATTTGTGATCATAATCGAAAGACTTCTGAAAGACCGCTGTGGTTGCACGTTCCTTACACACCTTTTATGCCTCTTCCGGTTCATTAGGTAAAAAACTAATTATTTATGTTGGTCAATCTCCATGGTATATAGTGGCAATAATAAAAGAAAATGGATAAACTTTGCTAGAAACTAAATATGGTTCAAATCTTTATATTGACACGATAGATGAGCGTTGTTAAGAAGGTGCACTTACCACTAGCAGCCTCGATGTTAGCGAAAGCAAATCCCTTACTAAATCTGACTTTAGTTATGGGTGTTCTAGAGTCGAGCACTAAATTTCTGGAGGCGTCCCGCTGGCCGCAACAGGCGTGGGCGAAGGACGTACTGGCACTGTGGGTGTTAACCCGTTCGTAATATACCTATTGCGAAATACAGTAATATTAAATTTACATTTTCATACATGATAAAAGCTCTTTATAGCCGCCTGAGAGCGGGCAACGGGCGAAACAGTACTGCATTTCGTAAAAACTTTTTGCAACTTTAATAATTTTTCGCATCAGCTCTCATATGAAAGATATCAGATATGAAATTCAAACCAAATATAAATGTGTAATAAATATGAATAACTTATTTATTTCTGAAACTAATAAAATGATGATGATGATGAATTAAAAGCTGCAATTGCAAAAAACGCATGGTACCTAATACAATGACATAAATGTTAACGTAACTTGTGTAAGATAAAAGGAAAAATTAATTGAAATTCCTGTACATTTAAATGACTACGCTTATTGGGCGTTTTTGTTCCCTCAACTTATATTTCTATTCTGTAGTTGTACAAAAGCTTTGTTTGTACTTAGCTAATCTCTTCTATACACCATAATTTTCTATTTAAATACAGCGTTCACTGGTATATTTACAGCCCGTAGCGCTCAATCTACGATCTACAATGGCGAGGGTTAACCAACATGTTACATACTCCCCAGTCACGCACCTGTGTTGTGGTGTAGGCGTCTCCGTTTCGGTATCGCGTAACTTGTCTCTTACGTCGCACGTAATGGTAGCAAATCGCCTTCCACCTGCTCAAATGGAGAATGTAACATAAAATATTTCAGGGAAGGTAAACACAAAAATCTGTTACATGTGCGATTTTTTGTTTTTCTCAAATATTTCGTCATCACTCTCACAAATACAAATGGCTCCCACACAATTTTTTTGGGTTCACCAAACATATAGAAGGTAAATTGCCACGCCGTAAGGTGGACTTAGCTGTTGATGTATTATTATTTTCAGTCCAGTCACGCTAAAAAGTGTGTTTATGGCGCCGTGTAAACTTGAAATGATCAATGGTTATTCTATAGCAAATGCGGCCGTATAGATAAAACAAAACAACTGCGTGCGTCAGTTTTCATAGAAGATGCCATTACGCTGAAGCTTGAGGCTATAAGCTTGTAATTCGTACCATACTCTGGGCGTAGCGCTCCTCATTGCGTGCACTCTTGCACTAACCGCTGTAACGTCCACCCTTCTTGCTAATTGAATTCTAGCGGTACTATGGTAACATTCGACCAAATATACTAAGTACAGCAGGAGAACGAATGCAATGGGTATATACGCATAGCCCACGTCGCATGGAGACTCTCGCACAGTCCGCTTTATTGGAAATCTGAAAGGGGAAAAGAAATATTCATAAATCACACATAACATTTTTTTTTGGTATTTTTTTCCATTAGCTTCCAGGTGTTTTTCAACCTAACAAAAATTGTATTCAGTAAAGAAAAATCATTAATGAAACAAGCAGAATTCAGCGGTCGGTTATAGTTTTCGAAAAAAAAATATAAAAATTTAAAAATTTTGTTGTTGACAACATCTTGCACAAATTTACGAATTAACAAACTTTTCCAAATGATAACCTCGCATTATTCAAAAACAGAGTCTTGCACTGAGTTTGCATTACACTTGCACAGAGTTGCGAAGCAAGTTTTAACGTTAGAACTGATTTCGCAGCGGTTCATCCGTTTTTCTCCAAAGTTTAAATTTCATCTTATGTGCACAGTGAATACTCGTAGCACTATGAAATTAATATCATTCAAAATATGGAACATATTAGAAAATAATATCAACGAAGCTCATGATGGAAACGACAAGGATAAGAAATCTAACAATAATAAATCCACAGGCATATCTAGTTTTCATAGGTTTTGCTTTTCAAAGGAAGCTATATATATTAGCACAGTGGCTAGAACGTCTAGATGAAAATCACGAGGAACCCGGAAGTTCAGTTTTATCTAAACCTCTTTAAGATTTTACTTACGTGTTAAGGTCGATAAGCTCGCGATCGATCTCCGCCGTGTTGCACCAAGCCACGGAGCCAAGGCATCCGGCTATCATAAGAGTGAGCATAAAGCATTTCCAGTTGCCTTCCCGCCTGAGAACACCTCCAATGCTTTGTTGCCGAGGCCGCTGAAAACGTACATTATAAGATATTTGCCATATAGCATTTTCCTAGAATTAATACCTCTTTGAATTGATAATTGATAATCCTAGAATAAATATCTCTTCTTGATGTTTACGCAAATATTTCACCAGTTCAAGCAGCTATCAACTATTTAAAGAATTTATGTCATCTATTAATATGAATAAAATTGTCTGAATAAAATAAATAAAATAAATTACACATTACTGCTATTTATACTATGTCTAGTTAAAGTTGTCAATAAAGTAAAAAAGTAAAGTAACAGCCTATACATGTCCCACGGCTGGGCAAAGGCCTCCTCTATACAGAGGGTATCAAGGCATAGTCCACCACGCGGCCCCACTACGATTTGGCGGACTTCACATATCTTCGAAATATATTTTTTTTTATTACTTTTTCGAAAATATGTAGGTTTCCTCACGATGTTTTCCTTCACCGCAGAGCACGTGATAAGTTAGCACTTAAAGTTAAAAACTTCATTGGTGCCGGCACCGGGGATTGAACTCAGGTTGCTCGAGTATATAGAATTAAAGGCGAGCGCCCGGACACTGAGCTATCTCGGCTAAGTTGTCAATAACCGAACGAATTACAGCATTGAAAGTTTCGTTTCGATCTCTAGTGACATTTAAGTTTCACCTTGAATATAGACACTAGCACCAAGAATAAAAATTAATCCAAATTGTGTCCAACTAGGTAACAACATTCCGATTAAAGATAGGGTAAAATTAATGGTTAACTTAAACTTATTACGTGAGGCTCTATGAAAATGCATAAATTAAAAGTTCAAAAGTTGTGCACTTAGTCGTCCACCGCAGTTTCTACTTAATTTCCAAGTAAACATAAATAAATTTATAATAACAAATGAAAAATACAAGAATTTAAATATAATATTTCTTAAGTCAATGGAATTCCTTAAAATTTGCTAATGTATCATTAGTATCGTAATTTGATTGCTGATGAAAGTCCCTAAACGTGAGATAGACTTAACCTATTTATCGTCTTACTTAGCTTTTATATTGTTAACAATATAATATATTGTGATAAAAATGTGATAAAAATGTTTAATCAATTATTATCAATTTTAAATTATAATATAATTATTGCCTTAACATTTTTATCACATCGAAATCTAAAATAATACTCGAAAAGAATGAAAAGGTATAAAATCTTTTCATTGCTCTTCGAAATTCTAGAAATGTATTGATTTTAGCTGGGAGCTAAGAAAACTGTTTATTAATAAATTTTCTACGACAACCATGTCATCGTAGCTTAATGTAATACTACCACACAAAATTGTACTTTTAATTAACATGCAAAAAAATCAGAATAAAACTCTCGAATTCGATATAGGGTCATCCTATAATGTTGAAATCTCAAATAAACGACTTTTGAAAATTCCACCCTTAAAGGGAAAATAAACGTTTAAAACTTTAGGTTAGTTGGAAAGTTTACGCCCAACCTGTATATTTGTTCCCCCGTCGAGTAAAACTGTAGCCAGTACCACTAACAACATGTTTTGCTGTCCCCACTTATGTCGGACAAGGAAAATGATGATGATTAAAAATGGCCGCAAATACGTTCTTTAAACTTAAAAACATTTGGGTGTGTGCCAGTAATTAAATGAACGGTTCGGCATTTGAAGTAATCAATCCGAAGTTAGCTTTTGTTCAACATAATTGTACATGATGTAATGACATTAACGTTAAAACTTACTTTTAGTGTTAAAAAAGCTAAGACGGCCCTCGTGGTTATGGAGGAAATGTCAACATATTATACATTTTACGAGTGAAGCCCGGAGCGTTTCAGTATGTCGGTGTCGATGTCAAGGTTCACTAGATATTGTGTCACGGTTTTCTTCGACAAATCGTTTTTGTGATCTGCTTCAATGTTGCAAAGATTTATTCTTTGGTTTGTTTACAAAATCGTCTTCATATATTCATATATCACCATTCAATATGCCTCATACAGACTTTAGAAAATGATATTAAAAATTATATCTTATTAAGTACTTACTACGAAAATGAGTAAACGTACGTTTAGATTTTATAAATGCTGCAACAGTTGACTACTGACTGATTTAAAACAAAACATAAAGTAATTCCCAAGGAAATCAATCATTTTTAATATGAACCAAAAGACAGACATATTTTGTTAATGAGGGTACTGGTAATAATGAATAGCCCTAATTAGCCTTAGATTGAGTTATTTTTTTATTCTGTAATAAAATTTGCTTGATGAGGTATTTTAAAATTTTCTTTCCTTGATTCTCAACGATTTTAGCTCGATAGTCTTCGCCGGGTAAAATAATGGCGGAAACTGTTAATTAACATGGAAGTTTTTTGGAAGCTTTTAAGCTCGGACTAATTCAAAACACTAGTCCAAGGAGGATTAATCAAAGAGACGGCTCGTTTCTTAAATAGGTTTCAAGGGATTCGGGTAACTTACAAACAGATTTATTTCTCTTTTACTTAATAAACTGTCTATCTTTAGTTTTATTCTTTCTGAAATTCATTTATTTTATACACTTTTATCTTTTTCATCTTTTCTGTTTTGATTAATTAATAGTGATTATTAGTGATCACGATCAAGATTCCTGTTCCTTTACTTCTGCTAATGATATATTGAGTAGTGACGACAGTTTTGTAAGCATACCTTCCCTAAAAGAGACCCTAGACTCCACATTTTCTCACGCTTTTAAAAATTTCAATATTGTGCATATAAACGCACAGAGTATTCCAGCACATTATTCTGATATTTTAGCAAGCTTTGAAAATAATAACATTCATGCGATTTTAGTTTCTGAGTCATGGTTAAAGCCATGTCTTCCATCTGTATCCTATTCTCTTCCGGGTTTCCATTTAATACGCAACGACCGCACTGCTCGAGGCGGTGGTGGTGTTGCAATCTATCTTCGCTCTCATATTCCTTTTTCTGTTATCCGTTTATCATCTCAATTTCATACTGAGAACCAAGCAGAATACTTGTTTATTGAAGTACTCCTATCGCATACCAAACTACTTTTAGGCGTTTTTTATAGTCCCTCTTCTACAGTTGACTATTTTAATACATTGGATAGCATTCTTGAAGAGCTCACTCCTCTGTATTCACATACGGTGCTAATGGGCGACTTCAACACTTGCCTTCTAAAAAATGATACGCGATCTTTGCGCCTGAAATCCCTTGTCGAAGCGGCCAATTTAAATATCCTTCCGCTTTCTGAAACTCATTTTTTTTCCAAACTGTGCCCCCTCTCTTCTTGATTTGGTTATCGTTTCTTCTTTTGACCATGTTGACAAATATGGTCAATGCGCAGCTGACGCTTTTTCCTATCACAATCTTTTATTTCTTTCTTATAAAATAAAACCCCCCAAAGCCAAATCTAGGATACTTCTGCAGCGTAATTTTGTTGAAATGGATTTAGACGGACTGCGAAACCAGACTGCAAGTACAGATTGGAGTGCTGTAATTAATGCAAGTACAGTAGATGAAAAAGTAGCTGTATTTAATTGTCTTCTTATTCAACTGTATGATGTATATGCCCCTGTTCGTCCAGTTCGAATAAGACACTCTCCGGCTCCTTGGTTGACAGATAACCTAAAAAAAAAAAATGTTGTCTAAAAAGAATGATGCAAAGTCGAAGTACAAGTCAAATCCCAATAATGATAAAATTAAGGAAAAATACAGGCTCCTTCGGAATCAATGCAACAAGATGTGTAGGGATTTACGACGCCGCCATATCCACAAATCTGTACAAAATGAAGATCCAAGTCGTGTTTGGAAATTCTTAAGGTCTATAGGAGTTGGGAAATCACGCTCAAACCTACTTCCAAATAATTTAGATTTAAATATGCTTAACCAGCATTTTTCTTCGTCTTCTTCTTGCATAGATAATGTTGCTAAATCAAATACCCTTACTCAACTTTCTCTACTTCCCACTCCTGACTATCCTCCTTTTGTCTTTAGGCAATTTGCAGATTGTGATGTTAAGAGACACATACACTCCATTCATTCCGACGCTGTTGGGAGTGATGACGTTAGTCGTAAAATGATCATTCCTTTGCTTGACATTCTTACACCTGTTATAACGCACATCCTAAATTTTTCCCTATCCACATCTTCCTTTCCCTCCCTCTGGAAAAATGCACATGTGATCCCCTTACCCAAAAAAGCAAATCCTTCGAGTTTTTCCGAATATCGTCCTATTTCTATTCTCCCATTCCTTTCTAAAGTCCTTGAAATTGTCCAAGAACAAATTTATTCCTTTTGCACTAAAAGCAATATCCTCGATCCGCTTCAGTCTGGCTTTAGATCTGGTCATAGTACGACTACAGCATTATTGAAAATCACTGACGACATTCGCTTTGGAATGGACAGTCGTCTAGTCACAGTATTGGTCTTGCTGGATTTCAGCAACGCCTTTAATACTGTAGATCATGACATTCTGTTAGGTGTACTGCGTTCTCGTAACATATCTCCAACTGCAATTTCCTGGTTTCATAGTTACTTGTATGGACGCCAGCAGCGTATTCGATTTCAGGACAGTTTTTCTTCATGGCTTGATACTGTAGCTGGTGTTCCACAAGGTGGCGTGTTATCCCCACTGCTATTTGCAATTTTCATTAATACCATTACTTCCCAAATATCTTCTCTCTACCACTTGTATGCAGATGATCTCCAGATTTACACTCAAACCACTGTGGAGGATCTTCCGAAAGCTGTGGATATTATTAATAGGGATTTGGCTTGTATTCTTGACTGGAGCCGACAATATGGTTTGACTGTTAATCCTATAAAATCTCAAGCCATAATAATTGGGAGTTCAAGAAATATCACTAAATTAAATAAGAACCAAATTGACCCGGTTATTTTTAATGGCATCGTAATCCCTTATAATGACATTGTTAGAAATCTGGGTATACTGATGGACTCAAGTTTTTCATGGACCCCTCAAATTAATGCAGTCGCTCGTAAATTATTTGCAGCATGT